GGGCAGGGACATCGGTGAGAGGATGTGGTTGGTAGGATGATTAGAATAGTCAAGACACCTGGATTCTATTCCTGGATTGGCCAGGATCACTAGGCATGTGGTCTTTGCTTCGGTTTCCTCATATGTAAAGTGGTTATAATAACACTGAGCTAGATTGTGTCTTTAGGCACAGTCCTGAGCAAGAGGTGGTGTGCAGGGTGCGTCCTCTGCACCGAGGAACAGTGTCCTGACCCAGTGCTGTCAGGGACTAGAGGGGTGCATTGTAATTTACTCAATGTCTGGGTAGCCCACACAGGGGTAAAAGAGGTGTTCTTACTCCTCTGTATGTCTCTATGCAGGCAGGCACAGACAATATAACAGCCAGTCGAGCTTGCATCATCATAATAATTCCTAGCTGTTATAATACCTAGCTTTTGATCTCAAAGCACTTTACACAAGAGGTGAGTGTCATTATCCCCTTTTTACTATGGGGAAACAGAAGCACAGAGATGAAGTGACTTGCCCAAGGTCACCCATTAGGCCTTTTCCTGTGAGTCATGGTCCAGTGCCTTATCTATTAGACCATACTGCCTCTCTCATAGCGAGACGGGTAATTTTATTCATGTTTGTAAAGTGCTTTATGATTCGCGGATACAGCTCACTGTGGGCTCAATCCTGCTCTCACTGAAATCAGTGGGAGTGTTTCCATTGATTTCAGTGGGCACAGGATCAAGTTGTGTATAACTGGAAACTATTACTAGCATTTGTTAAAAAGGTGGGCCTGTCAATATTGCTTTAGTATCACAATTTATGTATGTGTGTAAAAAACCCTTATAATGCACAGAATTCTTTAATTGTTTTAAAATAGTAGCTAAAACTTGGATTATGTATGTATTTATTTATTTTATTGTAAACATTCCTTTCCAGCAATCTGAAGTACCCAACATTTGTCTGTCTCTCCAGGCATTTGGGCCACTATCATCACTTTGGTATCCTAGTGCCTAAGAATTAGAAATTCAAAGTAACTTAAACCAAAAATGAAAATGACCAGTCAGTTGTCACAGCCCAGATTAAGTGGAAAAAGTAACTGTACTGCATAAATGGGGAAAAGTGAGGCTTTCTATTGCACATGTCAGTTCTCTTATCTGCCATGCGGATCTCTGTGTTGTGGTTCACTTCGCCCCAGCATGATTCTCTTGTGTTCCTGTGATCTCTTATCCCTGAGGAAGATCTCAACTGCCTACTCTGTGGTTGAGACGTCTGGCAAGTATAGCAGGAAGGATAATTTTTCCCTTATTGTTGAGAAGAACATTTTTATTCTTTTGTGTTTACTATATCATTAGAAGTGCTCACAAAGAGGTGGGTATTCTCCAAAATCTCCAGTTCCTTGACCTTTAAAGCTCACTGTGGGAAGACAAAACACTGGAGCTGTGATAAAAGAGATGTTGCTGAGCACAATGTAATCATCAGTTAGAAAAACAGAAAAAAATCCAGAATAAAAAGGTTGTGCCATTTTTTTCCTTTGGCAATTTAAAGGGACAGTCAATTTAAAAATCATATATTGGAAACAAAATTCCTTATCCATAAATATTTAGCTTATTAAATCTGAAAGAATAATAAAAAAATAAATTTTATCTTCACTCTTTATGCTTTTTTTTAACTTTGTGCCTTTCTCTCAGCTTGGACAATGAGTATTCATAAAGTCAGTTTCATATTTGTTTATAGGTAGATTTACTTACAGGTTCTCAGGAATGCAATTTTTTTTTGAGGCACTGGAAAGGAAAATGTGTTTATTTGAAAACAACTTTCTGTTAGAATGTTTTTATCATGAGAACGTTTCTGTTGAGTTTGGGATTTACAGAATGTTTGTACATTCACTAAATGCTGGGTATTATTTGAGTTGATAAGTAAAGTGGGACAATTTTTTTTTCTATTTCTTCTTTTGTCAAAAAATGCACTTTGGAGGGCCTTTGGTAAATAGTTTGGGTTTGGAAATTTATTTATTTTTTTTAAAGAGTCAAAATGTTTCACTTTGACCATTTTAAAACATTTTATGTCACCTTTTCAAAATTTAAAATTTGGCCAATTTAAAAAGAAAAACATAAAAAGATGAAAAACACCAGAAACAGCCAAATTTGGGGGGGAGGGAGGGAAGAAAAGTGTTTTGAGTCAATTCAAAATGTTTTGGTTGATTCTTTTAGTTCGTCAATTTGATGAAAAAATGTTTTTCAATTCAAATAGATCCAGGTTTGGTTTGTTTTATTTTATTTTATTGGTTGTCCTATTGTATGAAATATATGGACCAAAGGAGTGAGTGTCCAACATTAATTAGTGTGACACAAGGTCCAGGCTTTGGTATATAGAGACCTCAGCCTGCTTAGTGCCATGGCAAACACGCTATTAAATATCCTTTTATCCTGTTAAAGATACAGACAAGGGAAAACAGTTAAAGCATTTGAGATGTTAAAGTATTAAGTAAGGCTTTAATTTTAACAACATCCCCTGTTCCCTATACTTGAGAGAGTCTTAGAAGGAATGAAAAACCTTGTTGGACAGTCTCTTAGATGGTATCAAAGATGGTAATAACTGGCCTATTGGGGGAAAGAGAAGAAGCTAGCTGAGATGGATTGGAGCTGTTGATTTTGCTGCTGTTATTAAAGTCTAATCCTGTTTCATCTCAGGTGGTGTTTGGGGTCAGATGGAATGGGTAGGTGTGCAGTGTCATCGCATTTCTCTCTCTTTAGATTGGTCTGGTTAGGACGTCCCTGAGGATTAGGGAAATGAAGGATCGGGGTCTCAGGAAATGGGAGTTAAGGGGTGGCCACCATGACGGTGAACCTTGCTGTAGTAGCCTCCATCTTTCTTTCTTTTCATCTGGTTTTCTATATTCTCCCTCCAAATCTCTTTCTTTAAGGACCCACAATGGGCTGGAATAGCCCACTGCATCATTATTTTGTCCACCAATTATGCCTAATATCTAACACACCAATTTTGGTTCGTTAATTTCCGATTCCACACCTTTTGTTTTTGTTTTTCTTTAACCTAGCATGATTTCAACATGGTCCTTGAATTATATCAACATGGCCTTTTTTATTTGGCATAATTTAGTTTCTCGATCTGGTTCTTTTGCACCTGTTCATAACATTCATTATGGAAATCAACTTGACTTAGTTTTTATTGACATTTGTTCTACGTTATTGTAACATTTTATGAACTTTTATAGACTTTTTACAATTAATTGCACAACTAAGGTAAATTTGTAGATCTCTAAACCAAAAAAATTCATTATTCACTCAGCTCTAGTTAATAGTGCCTTTTACCCAGTTTCTAGTTTACGGCAAATGTAACAAATGGAGGGTTTTTATTAACAACTAGATTCGTATACTTGCAAATGCTCTGAGGTTTTCCTCAGACATAAGAATGAGCTAGCAGCCAGATATACTTTTTATTTTGGGAGATCACTGCATACTATGTTGACTTGGCGATGAAAGGGAAGTTTACTGTTTTGAGAACATAGCAACCCTTATTTGTTGTTTTTTTTGCAAGCAATACAACTTTAGAATGTTCACTGGCCAATCCAAACCCTTTGAGAATGTTCACCAGCCAATCCAAACTCACCCTCATTCCACAAACACTTTTCAGAAATTCTGTTCATCCCAGGAATTGGGTATGGACCATCGTGCAATTCCCACAACAGAATCTCTTGATGTTAAGGTAGGGCACTCTGGCTGAGGAAGGCTTCTTATGAGAAACATAAAGATCAGCGGAAACTGCAATTGGAATGAAAATCAGTATTCATTCAGACCTCATATACTATAATGTTTACGTAAACCACAATGTCCCATCAAGGTTTAGACTTAATTGAAGTTCAGATACATTCCGATTTCTGAACCAGACATACTTTGCCCTTTTCAAATCAGTCTTCTGTGGTGAAAGCAAACAGCTTATTCCTCCTTCAAAAGATTTATTCCTTTCACAGCAGATCCCAAATGGTGTTATATGAGACACAGGAGATTTAATGGTATATGCCTGACACAGGTATCTGTTTAAAGTGGGTTGATTCTATGTATGGGTTTGTTTTGGTTCAATGACCTTTACAGTGTTAATTAGACCCCATCTTCTTCATTTAATTAAATTATTATTATTTTATGTTTGGGATCAAAATTGACTTGACATAAAGTTATCTATTTATTAAGGGAATTCAGCCCTGTACTGCAGCCACTTTGAGCCAGCTATGCTGGTGCAAAAAAATGGCTTCAAAGGGGCTTTAAGATCCTGCAGGGAATACCCTGGTGCAGGAGGCCTTCCTGCGAGATGCAGGGCTGGCCACAGTGACTCAAGCTGGAGCCACTGACATAGTGGATGTTCCAGAGGCAGGAGGAAGTGTGGCTGGGGAGCATTCCTAGCTATTTACCCTACAACCACATAAAGCCCATATTGGCTATGGCAATCTCAGTGCAATGTAGGACAGCCCTAATCCTTGCCCTAACCAGCTGAACTGTTCCCCTTCCGCTGGCAGCCTCAGGATAGGGAAGGCATATGCTGTTCCCTTCGGTCCCTCTGCTGGGCTCTGCACTGGTGCAGGGATGAATTTAGATCTATCCATTGTAACTGGAACCTTTGCAGTTAATAATCAGCACCTTGAATATCATTTGCATCTGGAGTGGCATCCCATTCAGAGCATGGGGCACAGGTAGAAAATGCTCCCCTCTAGCTTTCTCTTCTCAGAAGGAGAGTAACAGCTTTCTGCACTACCTGCAGATTTAAAGTGACCTTCTAGATCAGATCCATGCAGTGTGCACTGCAAGAGTCTAGCCTAGAGGGAAGGCAGGCATGGATGACGAGGGTGGGGCCCACATCCAAGAGGACAAGCTGTGTTGAAAGCTAAAAGTTGCTACCCTATTTTTCTTCTCCAATATTCCTCTCTATAATTTCCCATTGTTACCATGCCTATTTTTATTAATTGGGCTCCTGATACTTTTACTAATAAATGTATTGCCATTCCCTCTTCTTCCTCACAGCTATGGGTGAACCAAGAAGACGGAGTAGAGGAAGGAACCAGCGAAGTACAGAATGGCCATTTGGATCCAAGCGCCGACTGCCTCTGTCTCAGCAGAACCCTTCAGAACCGAGACCAGATGAGAGCCAATGTAATCAATGAAATCATGAGCACAGAGCGCCACTATATCAAACACCTCAAGGACATTTGTGAGGTACGTGGGGGCTGTGGGGAGTCTTCAGTTGCTAGAACAAAGAAGAATAGTGTGTGACCAGGATCCAGATATCTAGACTGTAAGCAGGTGGTGGGGAAAGAGAGAGAGAGAATCTCCAGGCTTCATCAAGAGACTTGAGTCTTGTTTTTAAGTGCAAGGAAAGGTCATTAAGGGACAGGATTGGCCAAGCCACCGTGTGAAGCATCACATCAGCCTTTAGAGCAATACGCTCCTTTCAGTCATCAACAAAAAGAAAATGAGAGCCAGCCACACTGTTCTATTCTTTCACCCAGGTTTGGGGCCTGACCACAAAATGCTTATTCCTAACCATCACCAATGATTCAAAGACCTGGAAAAATCACGGGAAATTCCTACATTAAACAATTGTTTTAGGTTATTGTACAGTTCATTGTTGTTGTCATTTTTTATGATTGAATTTATTTTATTTGGTACCCATAAAAGAAGAGATTTTACGAACTGTGGCTGGGAACTGCCGTAGACAAGGGCTTTGAAATTCGCCCACCCTCCCACAAACATCTTTGCCAGTCTGCCACATTCCTGTGCCTTCAGCACGACCCTGCTGTTTCAGTCACGGGCTCCCCACACATTTCTGCCAATGCAACACAATCCCCGACTGCTATCCCAGTCCTAGGCTCCCCACAAAGCTCTGCCACTGCTCCCTAATCCTGACTCAAAGCTCCCACTGCTACTCCAGTGCTGCATGCTCACACCGCTCTGTATAAGCACACTCTAGGCCAGGCTCACCCTCTTGTGCCTTTTGTGAATTTACTTTCATCCTGACTTGGATCATCGCTTTCTGTTCTTGTCCTTAGCCTCTCTCCCCACTCCCACGCCAGGCGGATAGGTATCTGTACCAAGTCATCATGTGTTTGTAGTTGTGTACAAAACTAGAGTGAGGGCTCCAAAGTCTTTTCACCTGCTGACGTAAGCCTGGTTGAACCTGGCTTTCCACAATCAAAAATTCAGTCCTGCACTAATCCACTATTCCATCTAGCCTTATCTACTGGAAGGGGATGCCTCATATCCAAATAACCAGGCTTACAATACTTAGGATGCCTGAAACCAAAGGCTGGATACTGAGAAGGTTCTGCTCCTTCTGAGGTAGATTGAGTTCCAAGCACTTTAATGTGTAGAAATCATTCAGCTGAAACCTTCAAAACCAAGATCCTGTTGCTCTCCATAGACATTAAAGATCCTGTGACAGTTTTTTTGTAAAAGTAGGTGGATTGTCACTTTCATTGATCATACCTACCTCTCCTCCCACAGCTATCCAGCTTGCAATGCAATGCCTTTCTCTCTCCAGGGATGGCTGTGTGTGTGTGTGTGTGTGATATCTATGAGTAAGGACTGAAATGTGAACAGATTTAGCTGAAAATTGAGTTCAAATTAATTAAAAATGGGACTATTAAGAAAATGTTCTGACTTTTTTTCATACCCATCCTACTAACAAATGGCCAGATTTTTATCCTTCAGACATTCCGTAGAATTAAAACTCAGTGCCAGCTACCTTTGAATGTATATGTGAAGACATTAGGGGGTGTAATTAAAGAAAGATTAGTATCAGTTGCTTTTGCCTATCTTTCCTATTATGTTCACAACTTTCCTTTATTCAAAATGGCTGCCATTTCCTCTAATTTACAATGGGATTGAAACTCCCCAAGGGGATTGGAGTGACATGTGCCCTCACTACATTTTCTCACTGTGCGAATTAAATAAATGTAGTTGTTTAATTATATTATGTACAATCTAAAGGATCCCCCAGGTTGCTTGTTATCAAGGTTTGAAGCCTGGACCTTGAGATCCTCTGCTTAACCTTCATTAAGCTACAGTAACTGTTATCTTCAGTGTGGAGAACTACACACAAGTTATTAATCTCCTTCACTATATAGCACAACACCTTAATTACAGCCTCAGCAACATTAGCAAATATTCAGATTGACACATGTACACAGGTTAAGTGTGCAGTGTGTCGTGTTGTAACACATGAGGTTATAATTACAATTTTGTGTTATACTGTAAGAGAGGTTAATGTGTTGCGTGTACCATGCTTCCTTATAAGTCGGAGGCAGAAGTAAGTTCCTTGTGATGAGATGGAATCTGTTATTGTCAGAAGGAACATGCTGTGGTGAACCTTAGAATGTGGTTAAGAGGTTGTCCCTCGGCATTTCCTTCTATTTAGAATTTGTGTTGAGGGGATTTAAGGGATGGAGGTTTATATATAGGGCCAGATCCTCAGGTGATGTAAATTGGTGTAGCTACATTGACTTCAGGGGAGCTCTGTTGAGGATCTAGCCCATAGTTTCTAAAGTGTATTGGGATCTGTCAGAATAAATGGTACTATAGAAGTATATTGTTACCATGAGCTCTATGAAAATTAGAAATCAGATTCCTACCATAACACAGCTAGAAAGGAAATGGTTTTCCTGTGCTGCAAAAGTTGTTGAGATTTCAAAAAATGTCCTTGTCCCGCAATCAGGATGAAAAAGCAAAATCTCAAAAAATTTTACAAACTGAAAATCTGGGTTGTCTTTTTTTTATAAAAAGTTGGAATCTAAACATTTCATCTCAGTAATTTTGAAACATTTCCTTTAGCTTTCAATCATTTTTATTTATTTTTAATTTTTACTATAATCAGCTTATATTTCAAAATGAAAAGTCATTTCAGACTGGAAAACCAGAATTTCTTATTTTGAATATGTTGAAATGAAAAGTTTTGACAACTTCAAAACCTTTTTTCAAAATGTTTTCTGGTCAAATTTGTCAGAACTGACCCTTTCCTGGGAAAAGTTTGGATTTTTAATCGGCATTTTCAGAGAAAAAAAGTTTTGGTGAAAAATTCCTGACCACCTCTACTCTCTAAGCCAGATGTATCCATTTTTCTAATGTTTTCAGACAAATATTGATTGCCTTTGAGTGAAAGGAATAGCCCCTTTCTTTTTACAGCTCATTCACTCTCTCTTCACCCATCCTTCTTCTTTCAGAGCTTCATCCTCCCCTTAGTCTTAAAGACCTATAATCAAAGTCCTTTGCTTTGAATTCATGCCACTGATAGTTTAAAATTTAACAGTCCTGTGCCCAACCTCTGCAGAATCAATACTGAAAAGTTTCTAATGACTTTATCTCATTTGCGTAAACTGGTCCTGTTTCTGCTGATGAGGCAAAGCAGAAGGGAGATTTTTCATGCTTTTTCAATTGTGGAAGAATCTTGGGATTTCAATTTGGGGGCAAGTCAGTTTGATTCAATTATATTGTTTCAATGAAAGGTGTTTGACCTAAACAAGCAGCGAAGTATTGCAGCAGCTTTACTGTGTATTGTTTCTTTGCCTCCTCTGGCATTTTTCTGTTCAACAAAAGAAAATCTGAATTTACCACTTGCCAGCTATGTCACTGGGCTTTTCAGGGCCAGATTTTCAGCTGATGTATATAGGGATAGTTCCACTGACTTCAGTGGAGCTACATGGATTTACACAAGCTGAGGATCTGGCCCATTGTGTCAGGAGATGTCTAGCTCCATGACTCTCGTCTTGCTGTGAATTATACCAAATAGAATTGTAGGATAAATCTTACCAGAAGGTGGAGTACCAATAAAGGGTTCAGATGCCTTTGTAAACTAGAGAAGACTGAAATGAGCATTCTCATTTGCAAATGTGATAGGTCATGCGTTGCAGGAGAGAAGCTCACCTTGCTCAAAGTAAGTGTGCAAATCAGAGCAATCGGTTTGCTCCGAGAAGGCTGGGAGACAGCTTAATCTCTCCAGGCTCTATCCAAATAAGTTGACTTGACTGCATGCTTTTGTGCTTAAGTGGAGTGTGGCTAGACTTAGAGATAGCTAGGACAGCTTGATCTCCTGTCAGTGCTGCAGGGTGAACACAGAGGTGTTATCCTATGCTGCAGAGTGAATAGTCTTCTGATAACAAGCTGATGAGAGACAGAAGTGCTGCTGACATAGGCAAACTTTACAAATCCCCCTACTCTGATTTCTAGGATGTCAGGGAAAGCATTGCATTATTCTACATTGAGTCATATGGAAGAAGGAATCTGACAGGCTAATGAAAGTCAGGACTGAGTTTAGTATAGAGTATAGCAGCATGAGCCAGGTCTCGCTGCTAAGATGTAATCACATAACATCATCTAAAATCAAGGAAACATCTCAAGAAATGCAGTTGTACTAGATTGCTTCAGGTCTTGGGTGATTCAGGGCACTCGCCCTGCAGCTTCCAGTCTCAGAACACACCCAATGCCAATATGTTTTGGAGCTTCACAGGACTATTATTTATTAGATCCAAAAAAACAACATTAAAAGAACATTAAGATTGCAAAGTCCAGTGCTCAAGAGTTAGGAAATGCCAGTGTTAAAGCTGCCCATTGCCTCTTTAAACTGAGATTTTTCAAAGACTTATAACTTGGCCAAATTTGGGTGTATTTTCAGTGGAGCAGCAAAAGGCATATCCTTGCCATAAAGGTCACCCCTTTGCTACGTTGCAAGCCTTGCTCCACAGTACGGAGGCTCTAGAGCAGACTGTATGCAGAACTAGAGCAGTGGTTCTCCATGTATGTATCATTGTGTCCCACAATGTGTTGTGTGGGCTGCAGGTTGAGAACTACAGTGCCCTCCCTCCACTAAAACGCCTCACAGACCCCTATGATCAGTGCCCCCGTCCCAGAGACTGCTTTACAGAGCGGGGCAGGAGCAAAGCCCAGTGCACGGGGCCAGGCAGCCGGGACCCCGAACCTCGCCCCGTGTGTGCTGGGACCGGATTTTTTTTAGCACACAGCTGGGCTGCAGCTGTGTGCTAATTGGGCTGCGGTTTGAGAACCACTGCACTAGAGCTTCGCAAAAGAACAACTGCAAGAATTTTTTAACTCTGGGCAAAACAATGTATTTCCACCCTAGCCTCATTCTCAGAAATGGCTGAACCATTTTTCAGAACTTCATAAACAAATGTAGCTTAAGTTAGTCATCTTGCATAGAGAATTTCAGCCCAAACAGAGTTTGGGAAAGTAATAAGCAACAACAAAAAATAGGGTCTTATAGTGGGGAAGTGTCAGACAACCTTAACATATGCTGCACTCTAGTCCCATCTAGAATAGAAGACCTTAGATGGACAAGGCATTTTGCAGACATATAAAAAGATATAGTCCCTACCCCAAAGAGTTCACAGTCTAAAGTTTTGATCCTGAGGTGTGCGGTACACCGACACCTCCCTTTGAGCTAAAAGGCAGAGATACAAAGAGGAGTCACACTGTGGAGAACCTTGAGCATGAACATGAGGAGTTTATACTTAATGCAGAATGACTCTGGGAAGCCAGCAAAGGCATTCAAACAGTGGAGTAACATGAACAAAGTAGTGGGCAAGGAAGGTGATTTTAGCTGCAGTATGTTGCAGGGATTGCAGATGGGAGAGTGAGAGGTAGGGAGGCCAGAGCTGAGGGTACTGAGATGGGTCCCGGCTGGGTGGTTGAAGAAGGCAGTGCCTTGGGGAAGAAACCTTAGAGCTACAGCCCTATATCAGGGCTGAAAAAAAAACTGGACTGTATACCCTGGAAGGGGGGACAGCCTGTGCGGCTCGACCGGAGGGCTGAGCTGCCAAAGACAAGCCGAGAGAACTAGCAGCCTGGGGGTGCTCGCGAGAGGCAGGTGCCACCCTGATGTAATAACAAAAAAGAAAAGCAAGTTCACACCTAACCGAGAGAAAGCCCCCCTCCCCCCTCGAAACGAAGTGTTTGCAGGCACTATCAGAGAAAAGGGGGCATGCATGAGAGGCGTGTGCTGACCTTGTTACACTTGTACATGTCATTTTGTTCTGTATTGGAGCCGGCTCACACTGTATTTTACATGTCATTTTGCTATCGTAATGCTGGTTTTCTATGCTCTCTTTTGTGGAATTTGGCTATCTCTTGCTGGGTTTGGTGTGTATTATACTGTACCCCCTTGCACTGACAGTGTACATGTCACAGGAATGACTATGCTGATGGGGGGGGAACAGGAGTCCAGATATGCAGTTCTTATGCACTTTGTATACAGTGCTCACTACAGTCGGGTATTTGAGTAAGTACTATGCAGTCATGACTGTCCAAGTTTCTTTTCACATCTCATAGCCTGAGCTTCGTTCCTGTGGTTACCATTGATGCATGTGCATACCAGAATGGCTCTCAGAAGAGCCCAATAGCTCATCAGAAGCTCTGGACCCTACGTTGGTGGCCTACAGGATGAAATATTTTGAGAACCAAGCAGTGGGGATGGTCCATGAGGGGAATGAACTGTCTCACTGCTAGGAAGAGGGGAACCCACAAGCGATCGCTTGTCTAGTATATTCTCAGTTTCATTTCCTTCTTCTGTTTTCTCTCTCCTTCTCTGTGGAAGAAAAGGAAGATGGGTCACATCCCATGCCTCTTTATATACCAACTCCAGGGCTTAGAAAACTTAGCACTTAACCTCCTGCAAATATTCTCCAACTTTGCTATTCCACAGGGACAACATCAAAAAATACTTTAAAAGGAGACAGTTTGTCAGCTATTTTTAGGTCTTCATTGAGCAAAGCGTTCTCCAACATCTGCTCATCAGTCAGCTATCCCCAGCCTGAGCAAACCTGATGGAATGAGTGGCAGAAAGGTGACATTGTTTTATGCAACAAAAGTAAATTTACTGGAAAAACTCTGCAGCCTTCTAGCTGGTGCTTGCTGTGTATTATATATAATCAGTGGTCTCTTTCAATTGGTTGCTCACGTTGGAAGCTAACCATCCAAATGTAGAAACCAAATACAAGAGAAGGCTCGGGAACTTTGTTTGAATGCTGCATTTATTTATTTATTTACATTCCCCAGGCTTTGATTGACATCTCTATGGAGATTTGCTGCTTTACTCTGAGTAGCATGTGGCTTAGGCAAGCGGTGACATAGCACGTGGAGTGTGGAAAATATTCAAGGCAGTGGTCACAGTGAATAGCCAATTAGCAATGGCTGAAACCCATTTGCGTGATTCACCCACTGAATGGTTTTATAAAAGAGGAATAATAATCCTTTCCTACTTCACAGGTGGTTTGCAAGAATCAGTTCATATTGCAGAGTGCTTTGAGATCCTCACGTGGGAGTGAAAATATTATAGCAAAAATTCCCATGATTTCTACCTGGCTTGTGTCATTTATTTGCTGTAAAGCTGCCATAGCTTAAAAATTGTTCGGCTGTGAATCAGGCTGCTCCACTTCTTCAGGTCATTTCATCCTTAGAATGAGAGGGGAAACCCAAGGAGATGAGTAATTGAGTTCCAAAGCAGGTCCCTGGAAGAGCTGAGACTCAGATTCATCAATTGTGTAATGTATTTCATGATCAAACCCTAGGCTAAGGGAGGAAGAGAGGATTGTCTCCAAAGGCAGCTATGGTCTGGTCTGATACGATGTTAGCTAAACTGGACATTTAGGAAGTTGGCCGTTAGCCAGGATGTCTCAAGTCATATTTATAATTCCATCATTTTTTTAAAGTCGTCATTCCAGGAAACCACTTGGTGAACCTGACGTGCAGTTTATTATCCCTTTCTAATATTTATCATTGTTCAACATCAGCTGTGTGTCACCAGCTAGTGGTTCATCTGCATGACTCAGTTCCCAAATTCAGCTGTTCAGCTGAACCTTCCAGCACCTTTCTTTACTTTGCGGGATGAGGAAACAAGTATAAGGTTTCAACTTACAGGGCCTCAGTTATTATTGTTGTTTAAAATTAGGAAGCCTCAAGTGAGAGTGTGGCCCCACTGTGCCCAGCAACGTCTACAATTTAAATAGACAACACAAGCAAACAGTGTGAAGGAAAACAGATGCCGAGAGGCGAAGGGATTTGCCCAAGGTCACGCAGCAGGACAGTAGCAGAGATAGCAATAGAACCCAGGTCTCCTTCCTCCCCAGGCAGTGCCCGCTGTGCTAGACTGTGCTCCTTCAACCGGTAAAGCTTAGATCTGAATACTCAGATAAATTGGTGGACTGGGAAGAAAAAAATTATCTGCAAGTAGGAAGGCAAATAAAGGGTTGTGTGTTCTAACCCTTTCCCATACTTACCTATCTTGTCTAGGACAGGGACTGTCTATTAATCTATGTTTGTACAGTGCCTAGCACAATGGGGCCTGTTCTCAGTTGGTCTCTAGGCACTACTGTAATACAAACAACAATTAATAGTAATAATAAGAGGCCGAGGGACAGGAAAAAAGGATGATCTGGTAGCTGCGGCACTAGACTGGGATTTAGGAGAACTGGGTTCAGTTTGCAGCTGTTCCACAGACTCACTTTGTGGCCTTGAGGAAGTCACTTAAACTCTCTCCACTCAGTGTCCCATCTGGGGGCAATACTTCTTCCTCTTTCTCCCATTCTTCATCTGTCTAGTTTATTTACAGTATAATTTCTCCAGGCCAGGGACTGTCTTTTACTCTGTTTGTACAATACCTAGCACAACGGGACCCCAGTCTCAGTTAGGAGTCTAGGCATTCCTAGAATACACATAATAAATAATACATTAAATAATAAAACATTATTTAATAATAAAACAATAGCCAAGAAAATGGGAGAAACGTCCCTGGCACAACCTCACTGACTTTAATGCACTAGCGTAACTGAGGAGAATCTGGGAGAATAAAAAGGAGAGGGAAAGAGAAAAGAAAATGATGCTATTTTCTTCCTCCAAGATGACATTTAACTATGGCTTTTATCTTCCATCACTGCTGTTCCCTCGTCAGGCAGCCAATAAACTGAAACCACCATCAAACCTTTATTTTTTTGTTTTGTTTTAACATTCAGAGTTCCCACACACTGACATTTTCAGAACCGCAAAACCTCCTGCCTTTGTTTCTCATACACAGGCAAATAAATAATGGTGGGATAAACCACACAGCATTCCAAGTCAGGGATGTCCCATGAGATTTGTAGAGGCCTTTGGCTAGCAGTAGGTCTCAGATACCTTGTGCTCAGTGCAGTAGCAATGGGAAGGATGGTTGCATCATGTGCTCATTCACTCTCTGTTATGAGACCAAGACCATAGAATCAGACATTAATGGAATATTCTGCAGCTTGAATGGCTGCTTCCGAGTGCCGATTACTGTGGCTGTGGAGGGGAATGAGGGTGGCCAGCCTATTGAAAGACAGACCGAGGCAGCTGTCGCAGTAGGATGGTGCGCCCTTGATCAAAGTGTGAGAATGTGGCACCTTTTCTGGGGACAATGGTTGCAGCAAGAACTAAAACTAATGGATTTGTTTGCATGGCGGTAATTTTTAAAGGGACAGACAGGGACAGAAATGAGTAACCAAATCCCTTTACGGTATGAAGGACCAAACGTGAGGCTTGCTCCTCTCTGCAGCATTGGTAGACCTAGGAAGGCGCCGAGCACTGGTGGCTAAGCTCCTTTCAGGAGTACTCCCTTTCCACAGAAGGTGCAGGCAGAGTGCTCTGGGAAGGCGGGGTAGATCTCTGTATTGCCCTCCCTATACCTGCTTTTGAGTGGATCAGCATGTACTCCACAGCAGCTTTTGACCAAGGCTAGCAAGCCTATCAGGATGGCAGGGCCCTGCCCATGTTCCAAAGAAGCAGCCTTGCCATAACCCCTAGGGGCCACAGAGCTTCAAGGGGCCATAGTCTGTCTTGTGCTTGGCTCTTCCATGGGTGCAGGGGACAGTAACTTTTTTTGTCCATTGCTGTTTCCAAGGCCCATCTGGCATTGTGAGTGTTTGGGTTATTTTACAAATTCCTCCTCTTTCTCCTTGCAGGGTTACTTAAAGCAGTGCCGGAAGAGGAGAGACATGTTCAGCGATGAACAGTTAAAGGTCATATTCGGCAACATCGAAGATATCTACAGGTTTCAGATGGGTTTTGTCCGGGACTTGGAGAAACAATATAACAATGAGGACCCCCACCTCAGTGAAATTGGACCTTGTTTCCTGGAACATGTAAGTTTTTGGAGGGAGTGAGAAGGCAGAAGCCATTTTACATGACTGGATCATCACTGTTCTGGATGGCAGGTTCCTCAGATTACAGATCAGAGGCTACCTTGACTATTGGTTTCTTGTTGCTAGATTTAGAAATGGGCAAACTTCACAAGTGATGCATAAGGTTATAGGACATAGGAAACACAGGAACAATAAGAGGGATAACAGTCAGTGAATCTGCTCAACGTCTTACATGTCTCGACCCAATTGCAAGGGGTACGAGGTATGAACAGGAAGATCTGGGAGTATTAGTACTAAGTAGCTAAATTATTATTTACTAGGCATCATTGAGACGTGGATAAATCTCATGACTGGAATATTGGTATAGAGGGGATAACTTGTTCAGGAAGGACAGGCAGGGAAAAAAGGGAAGAGGCGTATATATTCTTGATGTGTAATACACTTGTTCTGAGGTCTAGAAGGAGGTGACAGGCAGACCAGTTGAAAGTCTCAGGGTGAAGATAAAAGGGGAAAAAAGCAGGGACAGCATCCTGGAAGGGGACGTAAGGAAGAAGAAGTAGATGAGCCATTTCTGGAGCAAATAACAGAAAAGCCAAACCACAAAAACTGGTAGTAATGGGGGGCTTTAACGACCCAGTCTGTTTGAAAAGTAATATGGCAAAACACAATTTTTTCAGTAAGTTCTTGTAATATATTGGGGACAATTTTTTGTTTCAGAAAGTGGAAATAAGCAAAGGCACAGCCATTTCAAACTTCAGGGAGGAATTGGTAGTGAATCTGAAGGTTGAAGGAAGTTTGGGTGAGAGTGATCATGAAATGATAGATTGAATGAGTCCAAGGAAAGGAAGGAGTGAAAGCAGCAGAATAAGGAAAATGAACTTCAAAAAAGCAGATTTTAACAAACTCCTATGGGAAGAAAATCTAAGGGACAAAGGTGTTGAGGAGAAATGGCAAAAATACGGTATTAATGGCACAATAGCAAACTATCCCAATGCATAGGAAAGACAGAAAGAACTGTAAAAGGCCAATATGGCTCCATCATGAGCTCTTTAATGACCTGAAAATAAAAAAGGAATCCTTCAAAAACTGGAAACATGGGAAAATTGCTAAGGATGAATACAAAAGAATAGTACAAGTGTGTAGGATCTGTTTCTGACTGTCACATCACTTATTTCCCCGTCTATAAAATGGCTACTTACCTGACAAATGTGTTGCAAAGCTTGATTAGTTAATTTTGGTAAAGTGATTTGAGATCCACAGTTCCAAACGTATTACATAACTGGAAAGTATCATCAGTATCCCTCATATCAAAATGTTATCTAATCTAAATCAACCAATAGTGTTCCACAGAAGTGAAATAGGGCTCTATAGAAATTATTTCTATAACCTATAGAATTTAATAAACAGTGAGATCTTTTCCTTTGTCTTTTAATATCACCCTGTGGTATAAGGGATAGAAACCTTTATTCAATATTACAGGATAGTTTAAAAATGTTGCAAAAAGTTTATCATCATCTATCTAATTCTAAAGGCCTTTTCCAGAAGAGGAGATTATTATTATTATTTATTTATTAATAATAATGTGGCTACCCTCCAAGATAAATTTTATGTCTGACACCTTTTAAATGATTATTTTTTTAATCAAGAGTTTTGGCAGGGACAGAAACCTTCATGCTCCAGGGCATAAGCTGACCTCTGACTAATATAGGTTAGGAAGACTCTCCCTGTGGGCATGTTATCCTGGAATGGCTTTCTGCAGGGTTTCTTGCACCCTTCTGTGAAGCCACGGGTACTGGCCACAGTTGGAAATGGACTATACATCTGATCCTGTCTGGCATTTCCTACATACCTATGTTCGTCAGGTACAGGGGAGACCAAGATTTAACTGTATGGAAGCAATTTACAAATACGTGGCTCACCATATGGAAAGTTTTTTCAAACAATGGTTCTAAAAATAAATGTCCATCTGTTCTCAGACCTGTATTAAAGTCAAGAACCCGAGTTGTTTGATTGGTGGGTTTAAAACAAAACTCTCAACCCAAGAAACCTGGCATTTCTAATTGCATGCCAACTGAGCGGAACGGTTTGTTGCAATGTAAGCTGTCAATGGATTGATTCACAAGAAAGGAAAACACATGTTTGGAGTCTTGGCTGTAGAAACACAGCACATGTGCAAGGAATGCAACCCCATCTGACTTTATAATCCCCCTCCCCCCTTTGTGACTGTGTTTCTCTGCCGGATGGAAGGCTGCTGGCCCACCAGGCCTCATGCTGCCTAATAGTGACAGCAAGGTAGCAGATAGCTTACTCATGCTAAAACACAGTAGCTGACAATATAGCGCTGGAGGCTTTAGCCCACCCCATCTCGCCTGTTACATAAGCTGTATATTGCGGGAGCTGATAAATTGGCCAGTGTTGTAAATATGTCAAGAAAATTGCAGTTCTGCTTTTTTAGGCTTTCCTTTAGGGAGAACGAAGTGCTATATCGGAGCTTATGTAAGATCCAGGATGTGAATCCTTTTATGTGTAACATCATTACTTAGAGTTGTACCTGGGCTGAGCTACGTTTCACCTCAGCAACACTTCAGTTTCATTAGAGAATCTCATTGTAGACATTAATGACATTTCAGTGGGACACCATTAAAACCACTCACAGCTTCTCCTAATTGCCACTGGCCTTTGCAGCCAAGAGCACCTTTCTTTTTTGATGGACAGTATTGTAATAAAAACATCCCTCTTTATATCTCTAACAGTGGTGCTGAGATACTACAGTGATGAGCATGCTAGAAATCTGCAGAGGGGCAAACAGACTGGAAAACTCATAGTATGAAGTCATGGGAAAGTTTCACTACGGGCTATATCCTCATGGTGGGGGACTAATCCCCTCCTGCAGACAGGTGGGAGAGCTTGTTGGTGGAGAACTGTGAGGCTCTTCTTGAAGGGTTTCCCCCAGGTTATTCTGATGGAGGGAAGCAAGGTGTTTGACTCCCCAGAACTCCCACATTCCTTGAGCCCCTGGAAGCACAGGGTCATCTGTCTGGAGTCTCTGTGCCTTCACAAAGGTTCTGGAGCCATGTTTCCTGATTCCCAGGTTCTTGTTCTATCCAGGAAGCCTGTTGTGTTTAAGGAAGTAAAATTGGAGCAAAACAGGTAGTACAAAAGGCAGAGTGTGCAAACTGATCACATGCAAGGGTCGGAATGACATTTTCCCATCATGTACAGCATGAAGGGAATGCGATTTTTGGTCCCACCCGATTATGTAATAAGCATTGCACTACTGGCCAAGTGTGTTTAAGGAGTAAGCGTCTCCTTCCTCTGCATCATTAGGTAGCAACCACAGCTTGCATGCAGCATAGCAAAAGCTGGTCTTGTGGCTGAGATGTAGGACTGTGACTCACAAACCCGGATTCAGTTCCTGTCCCTGTGTGATATTGGGTGTTCGCTTAATCTCTCTGTGCCTTAGATTCCAGTGTGCTTGTACGTATCCTTTTCTTCTACCTCTTGTCTGTATAGCCTGTAAGCTCCTAAGGGCAGGACTGCTTCCCTTACTATGTGTTTATACCATGTCCAGCACAATGGGACCAGGACAGTGTCTAGGCTGGCCTCTAGGCAAGGTAATACAAATAAATACTAATACTAACAGACTTGATGGACTGGTGCAAAGAAGGAAGAGGTGGTCTTGTGATCCAGGTGTGGTACCAGCGGCACTGGACCAGTTTTTATAGTGGGGGCGCTGAAAGCCATTGAACCAAACTGCAAACCCTGTATATAATGGAAACCGCTTCAAGCCAGGGGGAGCGGAAGCACCTCTAGTTCCAGCACCTATGTCTGATACTGTCTTGGTGTGTAACTGTGGGCAAGTCCCTCCACTCCTTCGTGCCCGAGTTTCCCCATTGGTAAAGCTGGGATATTCAAACCTATCCCACGTGGTTTGTGGGATAGGTTTGAATATCCCAGAGATTTGTGAAACGCTTTGGGGAGCGTCTGCTGGAAGGCACTCTGCGCCTGCCATTATTACTGTGCCGTGTGTGCTGCCAAAGACCAGAGCTGTGACTCAGCGTCACCTTGACCATTTTAAAGGAAGAAAACCCCATCTCTTGATTTGAAACAGAAAGCTCCCACATGGCTCTCTTCAGGGATCATCTTACTACACTACCGTAGCTCATATGTACCTGCAACAATGTGTCAGTGTAAAGGATTCCCTGCAGAGACACAGTGCTAATTGAGTGCCACACAGAGAACGGGACAAGGCCTGCGTGGTAGTAATCCAGCATCAGACCTTGCTGCTGCTGGGGTGTTTTTCTTTTATTTGTTGTAATTTATTCTTGTTAGTGTGACAAGCACTTTATTGTTCCCAGCACTTGTCTGATGCACTCATCTCTCTTCCCTGTTTCTTTCTTTGTTCATTCCCCCCACTCTCACCTCTCGCAGCAAGACGGGTTCTGGATCTATTCGGAGTACTGTAACAATCACTTGGACGCATGTATGGAGCTGTCCAAGCTGATGAAAGATGGCAGGTACCAGCATTTCTTCGAAGCATGTCGCTTGTTGCAGCAGATGATTGACATTGCCATAGACGGTTTCCTTCTGACACCAGTGCAGAAGATCTGCAAATACCCCTTGCAACTGGCAGAGCTATTGAAGTATACTGCACAGGATCACAGGTAATGAGATGCCTTTTTTTTAACTGTACTTGTGTTTTTGATGGCTTTCACTAAACTGAGGACTTTTGATAGTCTATTTCTTTGCATGGCATCTACACACACTAAATAGCAAAGCGTTTTCTCTCTTACTTCTTCTTGCATCCAGCTGTTTCGCTTCATGAAAACTTGTTAAAATTAAGGCAGGGCAGAGGTTCAGCAAACTAGATAGAAAGCCTGCCTGGAGCACTTATTCCCAGTGGAACCAAATTGAACCCTATTGTAGTCAGAGACCTGAAGTACTGATAGGTAGCTGTACTTTTGGATGCTACCTGCTACTCTAGATGAATTATTGATTCATGTACTCGGTTAAGATACATTAGCCAAAAAAGTTTGTTTCCCTCTCCTAACCGTGAACTCATCACAGCTGGGAATGGGAACACCTCTCATGTTTGGATAGAAATGGGCCAGACCAGTAACTTGGATCTGAACTCCCGAAAGTTGGGGGGAAATCAGATCCTGATCTGATTGTCGCAGGTTGTGTCCGTCACTGGTTTTGGAATCTGGGTTTGGATGTGAGAAGCACGCAAAAGTTTGTATGTTTCTCTGAACTAGAGCTGCAGGAATTTTCCATCAGAATGATTTTCTGATGAAAAATGCCATTTTCTCAAAATTGAATTTTTCTCTGGGAAAATTGAAATAATGGCTGCCCGCCTGGACGACACTTGTCAGTTTCACTTTCTGCTTGTGCTACGGCTGAGCACCCGGACTCTCTGCTTCCCTGGCTCCCAGCCTCCCCACCTTTGCCCCAGCTCCAGATGCCAGGGAGGCAGAGAGCCTAGGGCATTCAGACACAAACAACAGCCAGATATTTCAGAAACTTCTAAAATGGTTTGATTTGTGATTTGGTTTTGGAAATGGACAAAGGGGTGACAAGAGCAGAGGTTTATGTTTATTTGATCTGCCCTGATTCACCAACGTCGAATAGATATGAGCTTGAACCAAACCCAGATACAAACATCTTTGTAAAGGTGGACGTTTGAAACCTAATCCCAGACCTGAATCCAAGTTTTCTCCCTTCCTTTATCATGGGGCCAAATCAAAACCCTGAATCTGAACCCGCTGAGCTCTGAGACATTTGAAACCCAGCCCAGGGTCCAAATCTTGTGTCTTATTCTCCTTTCCAGTCCCAAACCATTGTAATGTCACAATGGCATTTGCTGTTTTGTGATGTAAATACAGGCTTCTGACTTAACGTAAGGAGAGGCAGCCACAGGGAAAAAAGGAATCTGTGATTCCTCTTACATAATTAGTACTAATACCAAAGGGGAGATGTACAGTGTTATTACACTGAGGGTAAATTACATTTTTGGGTTCAACATAATTTAAAGCATTCCTTTTTCAATGAGGACTCTTAAAATTACTGTGTGATTATATAATCATGGATGTTGTGACGTTCTGAGGGAATCAATGCATTCCTGTGGTTAAGCTACAATTGTCCAAGACCAAGGCCTTGTCTACAATGGGAATTTACAGCACTGCAACTTTCTGGCTCAGGGGTGTGAAAAAACATGGCAATAGTTATGTCAGTGGGAGAGCGTCTCCTGCCGACAAAGCGCAGTCCACACCTGCCCTTCTGTCGGTGAAACTTATGTTGGTCAGGAGTATGTGTTTTCACACCCTGACGGACAAAAATTTTACTGACAAAAATGCTAGTGTAGACACAGCCTTAATTTCTAAAATATTTAATATCTCTAAAATTTCTAAAATACCTAATACCTAAAATTCTTTGTGCCCACAGGTCATGGGAAAGCGGGATACCGGGAGGAAGCACAGGCAGGAATGTCTGTGAGGGGAGGGCTCCTGCCTCCTACTGAGAATGAGGGGCGATCAGCAGGTTATCTCAAGTGCTTATATACAAATACACAAAGCCTTGGAAACAAGCAGGGAGAACTGGAGGTCCTGGTGAAGTCAAGGAATTATGATGTGATTGGAATAACAGAGACTTGGTGGGATAACTCACATGACTGGAGTACTGTCATGGATGGTTATAAACTGTTCAGGAAGGACAGGCAGGGCAGAAAAGGTGGGGGAGTAGCACTGTATGTAACGGAGCAGTATGACTGCTCAGAGCTCCGGTAGGAAACTGCAGAAAAACCTGAGTGTCTCTGGATTAAGTTTAGAAGTGTGAGCAACAAGAGTGATGTAGTGGTGGGAGTCTGCTATAGACCACCGGACCAGGGGGATGAGGTGGATGAGGCTTTCTTCCGGCAGCTCACAGAAGCTGCTAGATCGCACGCCCTGGTTCTCATGGGTGACTTTAATTTTCCTGATATCTGCTGGGAGAGCAATACAGTGGTGCACAGACAATCCAGAAAGTTTTTGGAAAGCGTAGGGGACAATTTCCTGGTGCAAGTGCTAGAGGAGCCAACTAGGGGGGGAGCTTTTCTTGACCTGCTGCTCACAAACCAGGAAGAATTAGTGGGGGAAGCAAAAGTGGATGGGATTCTGGGAGGCAGTGACCATGAGTTTGTTGAGTTCAGGATCCTGACACAGGGAAGAAAGGTAAGCAGCAGGATACGGACCCTGGACTTCAGGAAAGCAGACTTTGACTCCCTCAGGGAACAGATGGGTAGGATCCCCTGGGGGACTAACATGAAGGGGAAAGGAGTCCAGGAGAGCTGGCTGTATTTCAAGGAATCCCTGTTGAGGTTACAGGGACAAACCATCCCGATGTGTCGGAAGAATAATAAATATGGCAGGCGACCAGCTTGGCTTAACGGTGAAATCCTAGCGGATCTTAAAACATAAAAAAGAAGTTTACAAGAAGTGGAAGGTTGGACATATGACCAGAGAAGAGTATAAAAATATTGCTTGGGCATGTAAGAATGAAATCAGGAGGGCCAAATCACACCTGGTGCTGCAGCTAGCGAGAGATGTCAAGAGTAACAAGAAGGGTTTCTTCAGATATGTCGGCAAGAAGAAGAAAGCCAAGGAAAGTGTGGGCCCCTTAATGAATGAGGGAGGCAACCTAGTGACAGAGGATGTGGAAAAAGCTAATGTACTCAATGCTTTTTTGCCTCTGTCTTCACGAACAAGGTCAGCTCTCAGACTGCTGCGCTGGGCATCACAACATGGGGAATAGATGGCCAGCCCTCTGTGGAGAAAGAGGTGGTTAGGGACTATTTAGAAAAGCTGGAGGTGCACAAGTCCATGGGGCCGGACGAGTTGCATCTGAGAGTGCTAAAGGAATTGGCGGCTGTGATTGCAGAGCCATTGGCCATTATCTTTGAAAACTCGTGGCGAACGGAGGAAGTCCCGGATGACTGGAAAAAGGCTAATGTAGTGCCAATCTTTACAAAAGGGAAGAAGGAGGATCCTGGGAACTACAGGCCAGTCAGCCTCACCTCAGTCCCTGGAAAAATCATGGAGCAGGTCCTCAAAGAATCAATCCTGAAGCACTTACATGAGAGGAAAGTGATCAGGAACAGTCAGCATGGATTCACCAAGGGAAGGTCATGCCTGACTAATCTAATCGCCTTCTATGATGAGATTACTGGTTCTGTGGATGAAGGGAAAGCAGTGGATGTATTGTTTCTTGACTTTAGCAAAGCTTTTGACACAGTCTCCCATAGTATTCTTGTCAGCAAGTTAAAGAAGTATGGGCTGGATGAATGCACCATAAGGTGGATAGAAAGTTGGCTAGATTGTCGGGCTCAATGGGTAGTGATCAATGGCTCCATATCTTAGTTGGCAACCGGTATCAAGTGGAGTGCCCGAAGGGTCGGTCCTGGGGCTGGTTTTGTTCAATATCTTCATAAATGATCTGGAGGATGGTGTGGATTGCACTCTCAGCAAATTTGCGGATGATACTAAACTGGGAGGAGTGGTAGATACGCTGGAGGGCAGGGATAGGATACAGAGGGACCTAGACAAATTGGAGGATTGGGCCAAAAGAAATCTGATGAGGTTCAATAAGGATAAGTGCAGGGTCCTGCACTTAGGACAGAAGAACCCAATGCACAGCTACAGACTAGGGACCGAATGGCTAGGCAGCAGTTCTGCGGAAAAGGACCTGGGGTGGCAGTGGACGAGAAGCTGGATATGAGTCAGCAGTGTGCCCTTGTTGCCAAGAAGGCCAATGGCATTTTGGGATGTATAAGTAGGGGCATAGCGAGCAGATCGAGGGACGTGATCGTCCCCCTCTATTCGACATTGGTGAGGCCTCATCTGGAGTACTGTGTCCAGTTTTGGGCCCCACACTACAAGAAGGATGTGGATAAATTGGAGAGAGTCCAGCGAAGGGCAACAAAAATGATTAGGGGTCTGGAACACATGAGTTATGAGGAGAGGCTGAGGGAGCTGGGATTGTTTAGCCTGCAGAAGAGCAGAATGAGGGGGGATTTGATAGCTGCTTTCAACTACCTGAGAGGTGGTTCCAGAGAGGATGGTTCTAGACTATTCTCAGTGGTAGAAGAGGACAGGACAAGGAGTAATGGTCTCAAGTTGCAGTGGGGGAGGTTTAGGTTGGATATTAGGAAAAACTTTTTCACTAGGAGGGTGGTGAAACACTGGAATGCGTTACCTAGGGAGGTGGTAGAATCTCCTTCCTTAGAAGTTTTTAAGGTCAGGCTTGACAAAGCCCTGGCTGGGATGATTTAATTGGGGATTGGTCCTGCTTTGAGCAGGGGGGTTGGACTAGATGACCTCCTGAGGTCCCTTCCAACTCTCATATTCTATGATTCTATTTTGTTAGATATCTTAAAGCTATTATCTATACCCCAATGTGTTTAATCCCAATTTGATTTTGGGAGCAAAACTGAAGGAACAAAATTATCTGGTGGATTGCTGTTCATCATGGGCCAGATTGTGAGTCTCTTCTTCTGAGTAGGACTTTACTACGCAAGAAGTAATGGGACTAAGAAAGGTATTACTCGGAGTGAGCAAGAGGTTAATAGTCTGGTCCCATGTAAGGAAGGATTTTTGTATCATTTGTCAGTGGATACTATTAGATTCTTTTCCTCTCTGGTTAGCTGAAATCATTCTCTTATTGTATCGCTGCAGATCTACTATATATAGGTCCAGGACAATGGGCCTGCATCCAAATTCCTGATCATTCCAGCCCAAGTTATCACATGACATTTTGGCAAGAGCCCACACTTGCATTCTCACTGAGCATTGAAAGGAAGTCATTGCATCCCAAATATAACTGATGAGCAATTTATCAGCCTTAATTTTATTTTGAATGCTATCCTAATATTAATCCACCCGCCAAATGCTTTCTTCTGCCATTTCTCTTCTAGGTTCTTTGTCAGCTCAACCGCAGACATGGGCTCAGAGCCCAGAAAGTTCAGTCAGTGATTCTTGCTTCATTAATGTACGAAAGGAAAAATGTACCTGCTGTTTCCTCTTCAAATGGAACATTAGAATTAGTGAATTAGCGTTACCAGTATAAAGCCCAGCTTCATTGGCACTAGCCCACTCCACGTGGAGGCAGGCTTGGGGATGTTTTAAAATCTTGGCTCTGTTCAATTGTTCATTGTCTATGGGCCAGTTCATCTGAATTTTTCACAAAGGCACATCTGTTCATCGTCCCAAGATTGAAACCAGTTTCATATTCATTAAATATCTGAAGGTCATAAGTGCAACATTGCCTCGTGAGCAACTGGCATTGTAGGGCCACTGTCCAGGGATTTCATCAGATTCCTTGATTCGGAGTTTCAGTGCAAATAAGATTTGGGGTAAGAAGTTGGTGTGGAATCAAAGGCAATCAGAGTTTTCCCTGGATGCTTGGCATTAGGAGTAGTTTTCATAGTTTTTATAGAAGTGTAACTTCTTTCCATTGCTATGCAGGTATTAACTAGGGCCTGACCCTTCAGGTGTGTCTATTGTGGGTACATCGGGTATGCTGTCCACTCCATTTAAGAAGTTAATTTCTACGCTATGGGATATCATGCTGTTGTGAGACAAGTCCCAAATGTCCCCTCCTGCAGATCAGAGCCAGAGTTAAGTGTATATTGGGTTAAGGGGGAGCTGTTCTAATCTTTGAACTGAAATTAGCCACCCTTACACTCACTCAGGCCACTTGCATGCGTACAACTACCTGAAGTGTAGACTTGATCCTATTTGCATAAGCCACACCCCTGAATTGTGCTGCCATTTTATCAGGGTATCCCTAGTACACACACACACACACACGCCCTTAAGGGCATTGGCTCAACAGACTTTTCACTGTCCACCACACACACATTCCCCTCCCTGAAGGTGTCTTCTCCAGCCATCATCCTTAATTTATAGTCCAAGAGCCAATTCCTGGAGTTCTTTACTCACTATTTACTCAGTGATTGGAAAGTTTTGGAACAGTAAGAGTTCTTTTTCATTCAGTGAGGGTTTTGCCTAAGGACCAAGTAGAAACTGTGTAAGGATATCAAGACCTGAAATAATGTTAAAATAATAAATATATTTTATTATGGAAACTATAAAAATATGCTATTTATTTTATTTTAATATTTCCCCAATTATATCCCATTTGTGACACTTACTGAGTTTCTGGATCTAAAATCATGGTACAGGAAGGAAGCTCTGAAATACACAGAGAAGTGGATTGGCTGTTTTCAGTATCCAGTACTGAAGTATTCATAGCTCTAAACTTACATGTCCCCAAATGTTGGAAAATAGTCCTCAACAAAGATTTCAAGTGCAGGATATTACAAAAATAGCAGAGGAGTTGACTCAAAATGATATGCTATTTCTTTGACATAATGAGCAGTCGGATAATACCAGATGCGTGTGGGAATCTGAAGTCAACTTGGGTCTATAATGAGCAACTCCGTTCCTGAGAGGTATTTTCTGTATATTCCGAGGAATCAGTCTATAAAGATCTACTAGAATACAAATGGTTAATCTCCTGTTCTAAATGTCACTGGCAGAATCCTGAGCAGTAACCAGTAGAGGCATTTCCTCAGCAGCTGCGAGAGATCTCCATTTTTCTCATTAGTTAGAAGTCAATATCAACCCTTAAGTTAATCATAAATTATGGCAACATTATATCAGCTGTCCTAGGCTGTCTTCCCAATAGAAATGAACATTAAGGTCTCCTGGAATGGAAAATGAGGCACAAGGTGGAAATCAATAGCATTGATTTCAGCATCACTTTTTGAAAGGACTGATCATCATCCTTGCTGCCCCAACAGGAGGCTGTTTTCGGTCTGTTATTACACTCACGCACGTATCCAGGAAGCAAAAAGAATTGCGTTGATTTGCTCACATAGCACATGAGATATCCACAGTGAGAGTGAATTCCATGAGACAAATGCTATGTGACACCCACCCAACCCCCTAGGTTTGAAAGCCCAAGTTCTAGCCTGAGCTGCAACCTGAACTCTGGCCTGAGTCTCTCCAAGATGCAGTGTAGAAATACTGGCCTTGCTGGCCAGAAAGGGTATTTCTATCACAGCTGAACTGAGTGGGCTCCAGCCTTATGTCTTAAGGGTTGTAAGATCATGTTGTGACATGTGTATTCTTTGCTGGCCAGGGCAGTTGCCTCTGTATTCAAACCTGATATAGTGTGTTATAGACTGATGTTTTATAGTGATACATGTTTCTTCTGGGGACCCAGGGAACACCTCATTCCTTCCATTATTCAAAGACAAGCAGATACTGGGGCCAGAGAAGCCCTGAAGCCAACCCTTGCAAAAACAAGCTCTGGAAGGAGATTGTTACAATCCAGAAATACTTTGCCCTGACTTTGCTTCTGCCGGAAACACTGGTATGATAAGGGAGGCATGAGCAAGTCTGATTTGGGACTATAAAATGTGTGTGTCTTTATCTACAAATGTAGGTGGTAGATAGATGTACATGCACACATAGAGAGGGAATTGCTCACATACATAATATGACTATGACACTGGCCGGTTCTATCCCAGATAACTTGAGAATCACACATCCAGAAGATCGTTCTGGGCATCATTTACATTTATTATAAATCATTGTAATAAGGAAACTAATTTTATAAAGGAACAGTAACATTCAAATATTTTCCAACTTTCCTTTTAATGGAACAACCCAAGGCTCCCCAGTATGAGGTCTCCCATCATCTGCCTGCAGTGTAACGGGGTTAGGAATGTTCAGACAGCCCCGGAACGTGGCTGACCATCCTAACACATTTTTAAGGAGCAAGATCCACAGCTGCTGTAGTTCAGTGTAGCTCCATGTAAGTCAATGAAGTTACACGGATGTACAGCAGCTGAGGAGTTGGCCCATTAATTTTATTAGAGTTTCACAGTCTCAGTTTGAAACAAGTTAATGTTTTTTGGAGGGGGAGAGGCGGGAGGGGTTGACAAGCCAAAAAGCAACCAGCAGAGGAGGAGACATATGAAGAATAACAACAAGGGGCAAATTGCTGTTAGTCCCCTGTTCTAACAGGTGCGGCAATATGCTGTTAATAAATGCTGTTAATAATGATGAACCCTTGTACATTTCCATTGTGTGTCAGGTGTAACTCCATGGGCTCCCTTTTGTGTTTTCTAGTGACTACAGGTACGTGGCTGCTGCACTCGCAGTCATGAGGAATGTGACTCAGCAGATCAATGAGCGGAAACGGAGACTGGAGAACATTGACAAGATAGCTCAGTGGCAGGCCTCAGTCCTGGATTGGGAGGTACAGTATGCATTGGGCAGTGATGGGCTCCAGTAGATTCCAGCACAAGAGGCAGAGGTGAATTGATTCGTATCAGGCTTGGGCTGCAACTAACACAGAGATGCCATGTTTAGGTGCTAGTGGCTAGTAAATGAGCCTCAAGCCTTTTGTACAGGACAGGTATGTTTGGGAGTAAATTGCAGGACACTGGGTTAACCTGGGTTAAACAGAGGGGCAGAAGGATGCATTTCGTCTTTATGAGACTGTCTGCACAGCTGCTGGGAGGTGTTATTCCCAGCTGAGATAGATATACATGCACAAGCTCTGCTCAAGCTATTACCCTAAAAATAGCAGTGTGGCAGTAGTGATTCAGGGTAGCCGCCCCAATACAATCCTGTCCACCCCTTGCGTATGTAGTCAAGCAGCCAGCCCAAGCCACCACCCATGCTGCTGTGGCCATACTTCTATTTTTAAGTGTTATCTTGAGCAGAGTTAGTGCATATACATCCACCTGAGCTGGAAACTACACCTCCAGCTGCTCTGTAGACATACCTTATGAGAGAAGAGAGCCTGTTCACGCATATTTGAGGGAGGGGCCTAAATTGATTTAGTGAAGGAACCTTCATGGTTGCTCCAAAGGAAATCTAGGGCCTGGTTCTGATCTCATTTTTACTGGTGTAAATCTGGAGTTAGTCCACTCACATCAATGGAGTTACCCTGGTGTAAGTGCATCACCAGATCTTGCAGGTTACTGTGGTTTGCTACATGCTCATCTGAGAGTTTTTGAATATCCTTTGTTTTTTCCCATTGTTTTATCATCAGAATCTCTGCTTGTAGTTTGTAGATGGGATTGTTGATCTAGGCCAAAGCTGACCACTTTTGTAAATCCTACCCCATATGGAATCATTAAGACACAATTTTAGCAAGAGGACTCTCACATTGATACAATCAGACCTGGATTCTCTTCTCTCTTACACCAGTTTATATTAGGAGAAATTCCTTTGAAATCAATGGAATTATGCTGGGATAAACTGGTGGAAGGGAGAGAACTCCATCCTTTAATAGTTTTTCCAGACAAAACCTAGGAGGATCGGGGGAGAGAGGGAGAAATTTAGGGCCAACTCCTACACTCAGTTTCACTAGTGCCTCCCCATTGACTTTGCTGGGGTTGCGCTGGTGCAGATGAGGGCAGGATTAGGCCATAACTTGGTAGGTAAAGAGTATAAGTGGAAGTGATACTATTATGGTTGGTTCTTAAGTTTTGACTAGCAGTTAAAGCAGAGGATGCAGATGATTTGCTTCATGGCTTTATTGATTGATTCATTGTTATTTATTTTTTAAAAAATCTCTGATATTGACATGCAGGCTTGTTATTGCATTTGAAGACTGTTATCAGGGGAGAGAGTACAAGGTCACCAGATGCGTCTTCAGCCGTAAATCCATTATATGTGATGAGTTAGTGACTCATGTATAAGAAATGCCAAGATCGTAATTGTAAATAAACCTGGATTAAGAACATATCAGTTTCAAGACACTTAATGTTTATGTGTGAATGGAAAGCCAAGGTGACCTGCATCTAGGAATGATAGAATAACAGTTTCCATTCCACCACCATCACCATGGCTGATAAATTCATTCTTACTTAGCCACAACCATCATCTCCTCAGCCCCTGCCCCAACAATTGATCCGAGTACTCTAATGGCAGATATGCCTGCCAGTCAAAGGAGATGGTGCTTTCTGAGAGGTAATTGCAGTCTTGTAAATAGGGCATTGGACAGTAAATCAGGAGACCTGAGTTCTGTTGCTGGCTCTACCATTGACCTGCTGTTTGTGGAAGATCCAGGTTTGAATCCCTACTCTGCCTGGATTAAATCAGGGATTTATACTCTGGTCTCCCACCTTTCAGGGGAGCACCCTAATCACTGGGCTATACAGTCATTCTCATGCACTCTTTCCCAATGATTATTTTAAGTATTTCATATAAAGTGGAACAGCATCAACAGGAGAGAATGAGACCCACCTTAGAATACCCAATAGTGTAGTGGTTAGGGCACTTGCGGGGAGGGTAGAAGGGAGGCATTGCCACCATCTTCTCCTCCATTTTTCATGAGAAAGGGCTGACCTGGCTTAGGTGCCTAACTCCAAGAGAGGTTTCAAAACTGAGAGTCATGGGTGGAGATCGGCACCTCACTCCAGTGTAGAGTTAAGCACCCAACTCCCCTTGAGCGGCAGGGATTAGGCCCCAAACCTCTCCTTGACATTTCCTACTGGCTAGCTTAGACAGCCCCCGACTCAGTGTGCTAGCTTCTGTGAGTTCCTTTTCTAGGGGCCTAATTCTTTCCGTGCACTGGTGGGAAGCCTGTCGCCTAACTCGGGGCTGTGAATGCTACGAGGCAGAAAGGCATTTAAAATATAAGCATTACAGTGCTGATCGTTGCAATGCCTCAAGTCCACAATGTGAGTCTAGATCTTAGTTACGTCAGTATTCATATACTCCTAGGACTCACAAAGGGAGGGTATATTGGGAATATAGGCATGCTGCTGATCCTAAAATAAGAAACATTCAGGGCCCAATTCACAGCTGATTTAAGTATATGCAGTTCAGTGGAAGTCAATGGAGTTGTGTCTGCGTATGTCAGCAGTGAATTTAGCCCTCAGGATTCTCCAGCTGATCCAGTGTTGAAGGTTAACTTTAGAGTCAACATTTGAAAAATGTAAATGCCCCTTGGTTGAACGGGGCCTGATTTTTCATCAGATGGTTCACCCAAGCCCTACTTAGCCTTTCTCTTCAGCTTTAGCTCAGTGCTCCTACAACACTGCCTGGCTTGTGCTGTATGTGCAATGATAATGATTGAAATTGGGAAGGAATTCTGAGAAGATGGCTCTGCTTTGCTGATAACAGCTGATAGCCATGCTCTAGCGTCCAGCACATGATGTCCTAGAAATTGGTGTCAATGGGAGCTTTACCTGACTAAGGACTGTGGGGCCAGATTCTGATCTCGCCAACTGTAGTGTAAATCAGGAGCAATTCCAATCACTTTAATGAGGTTTAACTCCAGATATATGCTGGTATAGCTGACATGAATCTAGCCTTGATTGCGGACCTCTGGCTCTGACTATAACAGAATAGCACCTGATTTCTGAATTCCAAAAATATAAATAAACCTAAAAAATGCTGTCCCTGCCTACACTGAATTCTCTCGTGCTTTGTCCAGTTAAATTATTAATGACTAAGAATATTGGACTTCCACCACTTCCCTTGGGAGACTGATTCACAGTCCGATAGTTCAGCGGTTCTCAACCAGGGGTCCGCGAGCCCTTTCAGGGGGTCTGCCAGGCCCCCTGGCTGAAACCCAGTGCCCCGAGCCCCGGTGCTGAAGCCGGGAGCGGCGTGGGGCTGAAGGCCCCCACCTCACCCCCGAAGCCAAGAGCGGCGCGGGACTGATACCGGTGTGGCAGAGCAGTTTGTGCCACTACACTGGCAGCCCCCTCAACCCTCCGAAGCCAGGAGTGGCACAGGGTTGAAACCGGCAAACCTCCCCTCATCCCCAAGCCATGAGCAGCAGGGGGCTGAAGCTGGGAGCCCCAGCACACACCCCTCTCCCGCTGAAGCTGGGAACCGCACTGGGAGTGGCTCATACACCAGCCCCTAGCTACTCCCCCAGCCCATACACTGCCCCTAGCGACCCCCTGCCTGCACCCTGAGCTACCCCCATTCCCACACACAGCTCTTAGCCCCTCCGTGCACCCTGAGCTACACCCCTCACTCCACACAGCCTCTAGCTACCCCCTCCCTGCACCATGAGCGTTTTTTAAAACTTTTTGAACTGAGCTCCCCCCTTTGAGTTACATTTTTTGGTTGTGTCCCCCCCACAGCCCAGGCAGGCTGGGTGGCTCCTGAGTGAGGCAGGGGGGTGGCTCTGGATCCTGCTGTGCGGAAATGGCTCGAGCCCCACCAGCCCTTTCCACCCCAAAATAGAAGTAAAACTATGCCTATTCCCAAGGGCCAGCCCCGGCCAGGAGCCCCGAGGTCCATTTCCCCTCCCCCCACTGGGCCCTGGAGTTTTTAGAGCATTTGAGGGGGGCCTCAGCAAGAAAAAGGTTGAGAACCCTTGCGATAGCTCTCAGAGTTATGAAATGTTTCCTGATGTTCGACTTACATTTCCCTTTGCTCAGTGTCGTCCCTTTCCTTGTCGTTAAATACCCTCAGACCCAGCTGGTGACATTCCGAAGTGGGTAGGCAAAACTGACATGAAAAAGTTTCTTGGAGCCAGTTCACAGCAACCATCTGGCTCTGACTCGCAACGGGCCAGGCAAGTCCCATCCTGAGCAGCTGTCAGCTCCTTGGCCATCTCTTGTACTCACGCCCTTTTGTAATGTACTCCTGGAGTTCTGTGGCCAGTGGGTAATGTAGTGAAGAGATCACTCCCACAAGGTTAGGACTAGTCCCATCATTTACAGAGACTCAATTAAGGTAGTTTGGGGGAAGGCTAGACCATTGGTTCAGATACTAGCCTGGGACACAGGAGGCATGTGTTCCCTTTCTTGCTCTGCCACAGACTTCCTGTGTGACCTTGGGCATGTCAGTTAGTCTCCATATGCCGCATGAAAAGCATACATTACAATGAGGCTGGGCAGAACTTAATTTTTATTTTTTTTTTATAATTTTGACTGATAACGATGTTTATTTTTAAACATTTTTTTTTCAGTTTTTACTGATTTAAATGTTCACAGGGGCGGGAAATTATGAGGAGGATCAGACAACAGGGATGATCAGACAACGATTATTTAATGACAGTACACACTGAGATTCAAAAAGTTAAAGCTTTCTAACGGCTAAAACACAAACTGTCAGCATCGCATGCCAAAATATACAAAGTCAATATCCTCATATCAAACACTAGTTCTCAAGCAGCATTTTTCTTACTTTGCCTATCTGTACATTTAGATTATTATTAATGGAAATACCTTGTCATTGGTTCATGTGTGTACGGTGACACTGACATTTACCAGCGCTTAC